CATAGGAACAGTCGCAAATAAATACAGGAGGAGTTTGGGCAGCACAGTCATTTTTATTACGTTGATGTGTCCCAGGAAGGATATGGGTAGTGTCAGAGCCTGGGTTCAAACCTGGGCCTTCTGCGGTGAGAGGAAATGTTTCTTCTCGCTGACCCACCTGGAATGCTGGACAGCGCTCTTGACAATTAGTTGGATGATCCTACCTTGACCTTGTTTATCTTGAACCCCTTGCTCCTCCTATGAACTTCCTGATAAAAGCCATGTCTCTGCATTTCCTGTTTGCCAGATTATTGTGCCTTCTCCGGCCAATATCCCACTTGTCTCGCCTGCTGCTATCTATACCTTCGCTACCGACCTTTGGCTTGTTCCTGGACTACAATTCTGCCTCATCTACTAGCGTTTGTGTCCGACCCTTGGCTTGTTGACTGACTCCGCTTCTGCTTGATCCCTAACCTGTTCGATCTGCTACTGGAAAAAGGGAGACCATTACATGGGGATCATAGGCAGGGTCTCCATTTGGCTGGATAAGATGGTCTGGCATCGTAGAGGGAGATTGTGCTTTGAGTCAATTGACGAGCATACGGTGAGGTTTGTTAGAGAATTCATAGAATTTCTGTTTGACCCAGAGAAGAGATTGTGTGGACTTGCTGGCATCAAGGGCCTTGATTTGGTCATGAAGAGAGGTCACTTTGTGCAGCCCAGAAATAGACGGTTTCGCGAGAAGTCTACGTTCAGCCAGGGTTCACTGGCGAACTAGGGAAATCTTGGCACTGTCTGAGGATTTCTTCAAACGAGAACCCATGGAGATACAGAGACCCCAGAATACCGCCTTGTGGGCTTCCCACACAGTCGAGGTAGATGGTACGTAGCTGACATTGTGGTGAAAGTACATATCAAGTCCCTGCGAGAGCTCAGCACGGAGATGGTCCGTGGTTAAAAAGGTCTCACTGAGGCGCCAATGGCAAGCCTTTGGCATAACATTAGGAAATAAAAAAGATTTAAGGTCAAAGAGGCATGGTCAGACCATGTGATAGGATTGATGTCAGAGGAAACCAGGAGAGGGAGCAAAGGAGCTGAGATAAAAAAAAAAGTGATCTAGATGGGAATAACTACAATGAGGAGTGGAGTAGGTGAATTGTTTGTGAAGAGGGTGTCTAATTCGCCAGGCACCAAAGAGACGATGCTCCCTGATGAATTTGCAAAAGGATTTCGAGGAGGAGCATTGCCGCTTCAAAGGAGTGGACTTGAAGAGAACTGCTCTGTCTTTGTGTGGGGAGAGGATTAAATTAAAGTCACCCCCTATAATCATGTGAGGAGTAGAGAAGGAACCTAATTTGGCGTGTGTTTGTGTAAGAAACTGCAACTGACCTGAGTTCGGGGTCATATAAATTCAACAAAATAAGGGGGGTGTCACCAAGCATGCATTCTAAAATAATGAAGCGACCGTGATGGTCGACCCTGGAGGAAACTACCCGAAGGGAGCAATGTGTCAGAATCAGAATTGCCACTCCAGCCTTCCCAGATGGATTGAAGGCCGAGTAGGATTGGGAAAAAAACCTTGAGGAACACCGAAAGGAGCCAGTTGATTTAAAATGGGTCTCCTGGATAAAAATAATGTCTGCTCCCGAGGATGGAAATTTCTTCAAAGCCAACCACCTTTTCTGAATGGAGTTAAGGCCTTTGACATTATATGATAAAAGCCGTAAGGCCATCACAAAATGATAATGGATATAGCATGTGTACCAGCAGAAACTGTAAATGGGATATCATCGATGGAACAAAACAGAAAACAAATAACATTGATAGATCACATAAGATGTAAACCAGAAACATTACAGCAAAAAACATAGATATCCGTAGGGATATATACTTGGGAAAAATATCTATACCCAAGTCGTCCAGGCCAGTGGCTGGACGGGATCGGGGGCAACACGACAACCGAAACATAAGTCGTCAAACCCGGCCAGAAAAACAAGACAAATGAAAGCACCCAGCAAGGGCTTGGCCAGAAAAAAAAAAAGGGGGGGGGGGGTCGACCCCAGAGTATCCACAGGAGAACACCCTAGAACAGGCTTCCTAATGCCACGACCCTTTAATACAGTTCCTCATGTTGTGGTGACCCCCAACCATAAAATTATTTTCGTTGCTACTTCATAACTGTAATTTTGCAGTGGGAGGAGTAGTGCCACATCATTGGTGTCAGTGAGAGGAGTAGTGCCACATCACTGATGTCAGTGGGAGGAGGGAGGAATAGTGTCCCATCGTTGGTATCAGTGGGAGGAATAGTGCCACATTGTTGGTGTCAGTGGGAGGAATAGTGCCCCATCATTGGTGTCAGTGTGGGAGGAATAGTGCCCTATCATTGGTGTCAGTGGGTGGGGGGGGGGAATAGTGCCCCATCATTGATACTAGTGTGGGGGGGAATTGGTGTCAGTGGGGGGGGATAGTGCCCCATCGTTAGTGTCAGTGAGGGGAGGAATAGTGCCCCATCGTTGGTGTCAGTGGGGGAAGGAATAGTTCCCCATCGTTGGTTTCAGTGGGGGGGGGAGGAAATAGTTCCCCATCATTGGTGTCAGTGGGAGGAATAGTGCCCCATCATTGGTATTAGTGACACCAATGATGGGGCACTATTCCCACTGACACCAATGATACTTACCTTGCTGACTCCTGCTCCAGCCTGGGCTTGCTCCCTCCCTCTCCCATCTACAGTCAGCTTACCTGGCTGCAGCAGCACCATCTGCACGCTACAGACACTTACCTGTCAGCTATCTTCCTTCTCCCTCGCTCGATCTTCTTTGATCTTTGCGCTGGTGCTTGGCTCCTCCTCCTCACTGGTGATTGGCCGCCTGTGTGCCTCTCCTGAGCTACAGTTCCGGCGGCCAATCACTGGTGAGGAGGCGGAGCTGTTGAGTGATCCTGGGGATGTGGCCGGATGACAGGGGCGGCATGTCATCCCGCGCACACATCGCGGTCCAGGGAAATGTGGACGTATCTGCATGTGGGCGGACCCGCCTGGAGACTGATAAAGGAGCAGTGTCTCAGTTCCTAAGACCATTGGAAATATGTGTTTTCCGATGGTCTTAGGAGACCCCTGTGAAAGGGTTGTTCGACCCCCAAAGGGGTCGCGACCTACAGGTTGAGAACCGCTGCCCTAGAAGAACATCAGGTAGGCTCATCGCTGGAAAGAGGAGAACAAGGACGTTGTGGGGTACGTGAAAGATGCTTCCGGCCCCCGCAATCTTGTTGGGGGTAACGGAAGGGCGAGATGGAGTAGGTGGCAATGAGGAGGCATCTTTCGATAAAGGAGGTAGTCCCAATTGCTTCAGAAAGGAGTCTGCCTCAAAAAGGTCGCGTAGAATAACTTGGGAATTATCTTTAGAGACGACCAGCTTGAAGGGAAAACTCCAGCGATAGGGGACACGGTGATGTTGAAGGTGTGTGGTAATTGGTTTCAGTGCCCGCTGTTTGGCCAGGGTAATCGGAGAGAGATCACAAAAGAGTTGGAGCCTGTCCCCTTTAAATTCCAAGGAAGGCTGAGGATAACAAGGCTTCTTTGCTTTAAAAAAAAATTAAAGCGGACGATGATGTTGCGTGGTCTAGTGCTGTCAGCAGGTCTAGGGCCTAGTGATCGGTGGGCCTTGTCCAGGAGCCAATCTGCTTCTGGATCCATGGGGGCGGTTGCGGTGAAGGACAAGAGATGTCAGTTGAGTTGATAGTCGGCAATAGATTCAGACATACTGCAAATACGGATGTTCTGCCGGCGTTCCCTGTCTTCCAAATCTTCTTGTTGGAGCTGGATTTGGGACATGGTGTGTTTCAGATACGCATTGTCTTCTTCTAAGACAGGGACGTATTGCACCAATTCGTCAAATTTATTCTCCAATTGATCCGCACGTTCACCGATCTGGGCTATTTCCCCTCTTAAGATCCAAAGCCAATTTGCCCACTTCATCTGATATAGAATCAGTAATGTTGCGTAAAAATACTTGTAATTTTCCATCCAACGCAGATACCGTGAGAGAGGTGACACATGCAGAGTGGAAGGAGCAGAGGGATGATGACTCAAAGAAGGGTGTTCTAGTGCCCCCCCCCCCCCACCAATGTCAGGTGCTCAGGATCCTCCAACTGGTGGTGTATAGAGGCTGGGGATGCTGGCTGCTCAGTTAGGGATGGAGCTGCAGTACCTCCCGCCGCCGCTGGGGGTCCGGAGCTCGTCCTCGGGCTTGCGGCTGTATTCGAGGCCAAGGATTGCGGCCTAGCGAGAAACCGCTGCAGCGGGGAAGGCCATGGGTCATTTGGCGGCGGGGAAGGGGGCTTCCAGCGCCCGATCTTCCCCATTGTTCCTCCCCTTATATGTCGTGCAGGACTGATATGACTCACCCAGAGACGCTTGGAGGCTGTGGATGCGACGTGGGTGAGTCGCTAAGGCCGGGGATGAGCGGAGCTCTAGGGATGTGTGACCATCATCATCCCTGATTGCGCATGCGCCCCCAAAAACACTTTTAAAAAACCATTAAACCACCATTTCTCTCAACAATGGCTTTCTTCTTGCCACTCTTCTATAAAGGCCAGATTTGTGGAGTGCAAGACTAATAGTTGCCCTGTGCACAGATTCTCCCACCTGAGCTGTGGATCTCTGAAGCTCCTCCAGAGTTACCATGGGTCTCTTGGCTGCATCTCTGATTAATGCTCTCCTTGCCCAGCCTGTCAGTTTAGGTGGACGGCCATGTCTTGGTAGGTTTGCAGTTGTGCCATACTCTTTCCATTTTCGGGTGATAGATTGAACAGTGCTCCCTGAGATGTTCAAAGCTTGGGATATATTTTTATAACCTAACCCTGCTTTAAACTTCTCTACAACTTTATCCCTGACCTGTCTGGTGTGTTCCTTGGCCTTCATGATGATGTTTGTTCTCTAACAAACCTCTGATGGCTCAGAGCCTCAGCGCTCACAGCTCCCTCCCTCAGGAAGGTGAAGCTACAACAGGAACTGCAGGCAGAACATGTGGAGGTGGAAGACACATCCCCCAATCACTGCACCAGCTTCAAGGTTGTCGTGCTGTCACCTCTGTTTGAAGGAAAACCTCTGCTGCAGAGACACAGCTTTCAGCACCCACAGAGCAGTTGTGCCAATGTGGACGGCAGAGTTTTGAGCAGTGAGGGACATCAGACCAGACCTCTTCCATCTTAAAGGGACCTCCAGGTTACTGAGAGTGTTATCTCTAAATGCGCACACTGATTACGCATCTGGTGAGTGTGCGCAGTCTTTACGTTTTTGGCTACATCACCATCACAAAGGATAAGACCACCAGTTACTGAAGATCATCACGATCTCTCGTGCACTTTATTTATGGACTATATGAGGATCATTAATTGATTTTCTGGCACCTTATACACCATTGGTCACTATATAGTAACATATTATACCACCAATAAGTCACTTTATTGCATTATTAGCACTTTAACACTGGTGCCACTTTTATATGCTTGTTTCATCATATGTGTGTGTGTGTGTGTGTGTATATATGTGTATATATATATATATATACAGTTGCAGGAAAAAGTATGTGAACCCCTTGGGATTACGTGGAGTTTTGCATGAATTGGGCATAAAATGTGCTCTGAACGTCATCTAAGTCACAACAATAGAAGAACACAGTCTGCTGAACATCATACCTACACAAACATTAGATGTTGCCATGGTTTAATTGCACATAACATGTAAACATTCACAGTGCAGGGACGAAAAAGTATGTGAACCTTTGGACTTAATAACTGGTTGACCCTCCTTTGGCAGCAATAACCTCAACCAAACTTTTCCTGTAGTTGCAGATCAGACCTGCACAACGATCTGGAGTAATTTTGGACCACTCCTCTTCACAAAACTGTTTCAGTGTAGCAATATTCTTGGGATGTCTGGTGTGAATCGCTCTCTTAAGGTCATGCCACAGCATTTCAATCGGGTTGAGGTCAGGGCTCTGACTGGGCCACTCCAGAAGGCGTATTCTGTGCTGTTGCAGCCATTGTTTTGTTGAATTACTTGTATGCTTTGGGTTATTGTCCTGTTGCATCACCCATCCTCTGCGGAGCTTCAGTTGGCGGACAGATGGTCGTACGTTTTCCTGCAAAATGTCTTGATAAACTCTGGAATTCATTTTCCCATCAATGACAACAATCCATCCAGGCCCTGAGGCAGCAAAGCAGCCCCAAACCATGATGCTCCCTCCGCCATGTTTTACAGTGGGGATGAGGTTTTGATGTTGGTGTGCTGTGCCTTTTTTTCTCCACACATAGTGTTGTGTGTTCTTCCCAAACAACTCCATCTTGGTTTCATCTGTCCACAGTATATTTTCCCAGTAGTGCTGTGGAACATCCAGGTGCTCTTTTGCAAACTTCAAACGTGCTGCAATATTCTTTTTGGACAGCAATGGCTTCCTCCGTGGTGTCCTCCCATGTACTCCATTCTTGTTTAATGTTTTCCTTATTGTAGATGTGTCAACAAAAATGTTAGCATGTGCCAGAGATTTCTGTAGGTCTTTAGCTGACACTCTGGGATTCTTCTTTACCTCATGCAGCATTCTGCGCTGTGCTCTTGCAGTCATTTTTACAGGACGACCAAGCCTAGGGAGAGTAGCAACCATGCTAAACTTTCTCCATTTGTAGACAGTCTGTCTTACCGTGGACACATGAACATCAAGGCTTTTGGAGATACTTTTGTAACCCTTTCCAGCTTCATGCAAGTCAACAATTCTTGATCGTAGGTCTTCTGAGAGCTCTTTTCTGCGAGGCATGGTTCACATCAGACAGTGCTTCTTGAAACCAGTAAACCCCAAAACAGGTGTGTGTTTTTTAAGGGCAGGACAGCTGTCAGCAACACATCCAATATCATAACACTGATTGGAGTCAAGGCTGGCTCACTCCTGGCTCCAGTTAGCTCTGGGAGAAGTCATTAAGCTAGGTCCTCACATACTTTTTCCTCCCTGCACTGTGAATGTTTACATGTTATGTGCAATTAAACCATGGCAACATCTAATATTTGTGTAGTATTATGTTCAGCAGACTGTGTTCTTCTATTGTTGTGACTTAGATGACGTTCAGAGCACATTTTATGCCCAATTCATGCAAAACTCCACGTAATCCCAAGGGGTTCACATACTTTTTCTTGCATATGTGTATATATATGTGTATATATATATATATCTATATATATATATATATTGTATAGTGACAGTAGGCAGGTGAAATCGCCTGGTTGCGTCCTGGATGGACGATACATTTGTCCGAGGTTCAGGCTTTATGGGGATTTGTTCCACTAGAGGGAAGTGCTGAGTCCTTCTGCATGGAGGTAATGAGCCCAGCTGAAGGTAGTGGGCTCATTAAGACCTGTATAAAACTTCCCAGAGTGCTTAGGGAGTTGCTCCACCCTGGAACCAGATCTGTGTCTGAACTGACTGGGGAGCTGACATCTTATCTGGGTGCAGAGAGACCAAAGCCTGTGTGGTTAGCCTCCAAGTACTAGCAACTAGGTATAGCAGCAGGCTGTACCTAGTGGGTAGCTAGGGAAAGCTGTTGTTGCAGTAAGTAGCCAAGTTGGCCTGGATTTATTTTGATGTTTCTTTTTGGTTTACCATTTTTCTGTAAATATTGTAAATAAATTGCACCTGTTTGTTTTCACCTCCACTGTTGTTGTGCTGTGCCTGTCTTTTTTGTGTTGTGCACCCATCCAGGGGGTCACACACACCCGCTGCCGAGCTAACCCCCGTTATATATATATAATATATATATATATATATATATATATATATATACATATATGCATAATATTGTTTGAGAGTGACACTGTTTTATGGTACCACTAAGTCACTTGATTATAGTCAGCACTACGTCACCTATTATCTTATAAGCTCAAATATTTTGGTTTATATATGATTATAATTGTCTAGCGCTACACCTTATTTTATATTTTTATATGACAATCCTGCTCTCCCCCAGGGACTTGGATCCCATGCTGTCGGTCCTTTTTTGCGCACTTTGTGGCCCACTGCTCGAGTTTATATACTCTCAAACGGGCCTCCCACTTCTTCAAGGGGGCCCTAGAGACAGGTTGACTAAACGTCACTTATCTTCATTCTGTAAAAACTTATATTCCACATCTCACACACATCGCTCACTCTATGAGTTTGAACGACATTGTACCCGCTCTGAACCCCCTACACGTTCTGGCCTCACTCTGCAAAATACTTCATCGCGCCATCCACTCCGAGCCACCTCCCTTTACCGGAGCGTGGTCTCGGGAACTTGGTAAAGACATATCCACTGCAGACTGGAAGACCTCGTTCCATTTCACTCATAAATCCTCAATTTCATGTTACTCACAGGAAAAGAATTATAAGCTCCTTTCCCGATGCTACAGGGATCCTGTCTCCTTACACAAAATATTCCCTTCCACTTCTGATCTGTGTTGGCGATGTGGTGAGGCAGCTCCACATTTGGTGGGAATGTGATCCAATACAACCCTTTTTGCGTGTTGTCTTTGAGGTATACAATCGGGTCTATGATGAGTCCTTGACCTTATCACCGGAGAGTGTTCTCCTCTCTATATTACCGGTCCCACTGATAAAGCAGAAGAAATGCTTACTGCGTTTTTTTCTATCAGCGGCTCGTCAAATTATATCTCTTTTTTGGAAATCAGCCACACCCCCGCCCCCTGCCATGTGGGTTTCTGCACTTAATGATATATGTGTATGGAGGAGATGCTGGCATTTGCCAATGATACCTATAATAACTACAAATCACTGTGGTTCGGTCTGACTCCATTTCTCTTCCTCCACGACCCTTCGTGGGCTTCTGGTCTCATAATGTACTGATCAAATTGTCTGGGCTTCCCAGTCACGGACTTCTGATTATCAGGCTGATCTTCACAATCACTCTAGATGACTAGGCCACACCACTGAATTTTGGATATGTGTAGCTGTGCTCTCCTCCCTTGTCCTCCTCGCCCCCCCCCCCCCCCCACCCAGCCAATGGAAGGAATGGCAGAGAGGGGTAGCAGACACTGAATGGTTGGTAAGGTGGATGAGTCTGGCTGCAGCATTCATGATGGACTAAAGCGGGGATAGCCCTAGTAATGGTAAGCCAATGAGGAGGGAGTTGCAGTAGTTGAGACGAGAGATAACCTGGGAGTGGATTATGAGCTTTGTGGTGTCATTGGTTAGGAAGGGACGTATTTTGGAGATGTTGTGGAGGTTGAGGTGGCAAGCTTTGGAAAATGATTGGATTTGGGGTCGAAAGGAGAGTTCAGAGTCCAGGTTTACACCTAGCACTCTGTCATGCTGGGACGGGTTAATAGTTGAGTCAGTGATCTTGACAGAGAAGTCAGGAGAAGGGGCAAGTGGGGGAGGAAAGATTATGAGATCAGATTTGGATAGATTGAGTTTGAGGAAGTGGTGTGATATTCAGACTGATATGTCGGTCGGTAAATTAGTGATATGCAAGGAGACTGATGTTGTGAGCTGAGGTGTAAAGAGATAGATTTGGGTGTCATCTGCATAGAAATGATATTGAAAGCCATGGGAGGCTATCAGCTGACCCAGGGAGGAAGTGTAGATCGAGAATAGGAGAGGTCCAAGAACAAAACCTTGAGGGACCCCAACAGAGAAAGGAAGAGGAAGTAGAATTGTAAGTGACACCGAAGGTGCAGTGGGATAGGTAGGATGGGAACCAGTGAAGAACACAGTCATGGAGACCAAAGGAGTAAAGTCCTTTGAGGAGGATGGGGTGGTTAACCATATCAAAAGCAGTCCAGAAGTAGAAGAGAATAGTGTCCCTTGGTTTTAGCTGTTAGTAAATCGTTTGTGAGTTTTAGGAGTTTCCGTGGAGTGTCAAGGGCGAAATCCAAACTGATTTGGATCAAGAAGGTTATTCTTAGTGAGGTGGTTGTTCAGTCGGTTGTAGACCAGGCATTCAAGGAGTTTGGAGAAAAAAGGGTAGTAAGGAGATGGGGGAGTAGGTTGTTAAGATTAGTGGGGTCCAAGGAAGGCATTTAAGTACGGGGGTGACTAGTGCATGTTTTAGAGAGTTGGGGAAGATGCCAGAAGTTAGGGAGAGATTGAAGATGTGAGTTAGAGTGTAGGTCACCACAGGGTGACCGCAG